TTTTGCCTTTAACTTCAGAAGATTGTTGACATCAGACACTTAATGTCTGATACTCATTGAAATGCATCAGATCATCCGAAAATGGCCATGATCGATTTACTCCTGGCTCTCTGGTTAGTGGATGGGACACTGCTGTGGACCTCTGTCATGGTCAGTGTGCTAATCTCAAAGAAGTTGTTACAGTCCAATTAAACATGATAGACCATATTAAATTGTGGTAAAGTGAAGAACTGGATTGCTCTTTACGATAAATTCAAAAGTAAAGAACAAATTGCTGCTTTACCATGCATTTGCTTTTGCCAAGTTGAGCTGCAATGAGTTTTTATTACCTCTTTGATATCAGAAGCCTTGGTCACTGCTGTAAAATACAGGACAACCAAAAGTTTTTTTTTTCACAACCTGCCAATTGCTCTTAGAGTCATCGAGCCATACAGCTCTTCGGTCCAACCTGTCCATACTGATCATCTCAAACTAAACTAGTCCAACCCGCCTGCGCTTAGCCCATATCCCTCCGAACGTTTCTTATCTATGTACTTATTCAGATGTCTTTTAAATGTTGTAACTGTACCTGCATCCATCACTTCCTCTGGAAGTTCATTCCACACACAAACCACTGTGCGTAAAAATATTTCCCCTCATGTCTTCTTTAAATCTTTCTCCTCTCACCTTAAAACTATTCCCCTTAGTTTTAAACTACCGCACCCTAGGGAAAAGACCTTTGCTATTCACCTTATCTATGCCTTTCATGATTTTATAAACCTCTATAAGGCCACCCCTCAACCTCCTATGCTCCAGTGAAAAAAGTCCAGCCTATCCAGCCTCTCCTTATAACTCAAACCCTCCATTCCCAGCAACATTCTGATAAATCTTTTCTGAACCCTCTCCAGTTTGATAGTATCCTTCCTATGACAGGGCGACCATAACTGCACACAATACTCCAGAAGAGGCCTCACCAACGTCTTGTACAACCTCAATATAATGTCCCAACTCTTATCCTCCAAGGTCTGAGCAATGGAAGCAAGTGTGCTAAATGCCTTCTTAAACACCTGATCGACAGGTGAACAAACTTCAAAGAGTTATGTACCAGAACTCCTGGGGATCTCTGTTCTACGACACTACCCAAGGCCCTACTTTTAAGTGTATAAGCCCTGCTCTTGTTTGTTTTACCAAAATGCAAGATCATTTATCAAAATTAAACTCTATCTGCCGCACCTCAGCCCATTGACCCAATTGATCAAGATCTCTTTGTGATCTTAAATAACCTTTTTCACCATTCACTATACCACCAATTTTGGCGTCATCCACAGACTTACTAACCATGCCTTCTATATTCTCATCTAAACCATTCTTATAAATGACAAACTGAAGTGGACCCAATACCGATCCCTGAGGTCACAGGCCTCCAGTCTGAAAAGCAACTTTCCACCACCGCCACACTCTGTCTCCTGCCGTTAAGCCAATTTTGTATTCAATTGTCAAGCTTACCCTGAATCCCATGTGATCTAACTTTTCTAATTAGTCTACCTTGCGAAACCTTGTCAAAGGCTTTACTAAAGTTCAAGTAAACAATGTCTACCGCTCTACCTTCATCAATCTTCTTGGTTACTTCCTCAAAAAACTCAATCAAGTTTGTGAGATACGATTTCCCTCACACAAAACCATGCAGACTATCACTAATCATTCCTTCCTTTTCCATTTGCATACAAATCCCATCTTTCAGAATGACCTCCAACAATTTACCCACCACTGAAGTTAGACTCACAGGTTTTGTTGAAATATCCCATTATTTAATTGGTTACAGGATTTTGTGGTAATATTCCTTTAAGAAATAAAAAAAAATTAATTTGCTTTTATAAAATTGAATATGTTTGTCGATTTTGTCCTGATCAGTTGCTTTAAATTTGGGCTTTAGTCATTGTAAACTGAATTTTAATTCGTGACACTTCAGTTAGACAGAAATATTTGCAGGGAATAAATCATTTCCACAGTTGCTGTGGCCTCAAAGTTAATCTTCACCATGTGGTTGACAGAATTTGCATAACCAGTTTTGGCTTAATTACATGATTTACATAATGTGTTCAGCCAGCCTCCCATGAGCCCATTATTCTTATTGCACACAGGCAAAATATGAGAACAGCAGAAACAAATGTGTTGTCTATAAAAATCGAAACACTGACCCAAAGTAATACAGGATCTTCCACGTTATAGTATATCTTATATATATAAACCAAGAGCTTCGTGTTTGTGTTCAAAGTCCTGTTGCAGTCAAGACTCGGCTTTAGAGCGTGAATTTTTACAGTCATAGAGTCATACAACATGGAAACAAACCCTTTGGTGCAGTTCGTCCATGCTGACCAGGTATCCCAATCTTAACTTGTCTCATTTGCCTATATTTGGTCCATATGCCTCTAAACCTGACCTATCCATGTACCTGTCCAAATGTCTTTTAAATGTTGTAATTGTTCCCACCTCTACCACTTCCTCTGGCAGTTCATTCCATGTGCGCACTACCCTCGATGTGAAAAAGATCCCCCTCAGAACCCTTTTAAATCTTTTCTCTCTCACCATAAACCTATACCGTCTGATTTTGGACTCCCCTACCCTTGGAAAAGGACCTTGGCTATTCACTTAATCTATGCCCCTTATGATTTTATAAACCTCTTGTGCAGTCATCCTTTAGTCTCCAATGCTCCAGGGAAGCAAGTCCCAGCCTATCCAAATTCTCCTTGTAACTCAAACCCTCCAGTCCTGGTAACATGCTTGTAATTTTTTTCTGCACCCTTTCTAGTTTACCAACATCCTTTGTTTAGCAGGGTGACCAGAATTGTATGAAGTATTCCAAAAGTGGCCTAATCAATGTCTTGCACAGTGGCAACATGACATCCCAACTCCTATACGCAATGCTCTGAACAGAGAAGGCAAACATGCTGAAAGCATTGTTTACCATTCTGTCCACATGTGATACCATTTTCAAGGAACTAGGAACCCAAGGAAGTGAAAGAAAATATGAATGGTTTTTTATCATACGATGGAAATTAATTTCTATAATGTTCTCTGGAGTAAAACATTTCTGTGTAATCTATTGAGTTTGGTATCATAATGAACACCGTTTGCTTAATACAAAGTGAAAAATTGATAGCTTCACAACAAAGTCTTAGGACCATCGTTATGTGGACACAGTCACTTGATGTGCTATGATGATGTGGTATACAACACGGAATTCATTTTGCTGAGGTTGACTCACAACTGTTGAACTGTTTTCATTCTTTTGTCTTTTGTTGTTGGATTGTCACAAGCCCACATTTCTGAGCATAGTTTTGGTGATGTAGACAGGGAAGTATTATCAGTAACTCTGCAGAGCAAGGTTTCCCACTCATTGTTTAGCACAAAGTATGAAAGAGTGGATGGACAACGAGCTTCTAGACTTGTGCCAGGCTACACTCTGGCAGAGCTGATGCGAAAGGGAGCCTTCGTGATTTGTCTACTTACAACGTTATTGTTCATTGCCATGGCTACGACTAGCAACTTCTATTTCATATTATAGTAAGTTGAAACTTTTATACCCTGGTACTTGTGAATGTTAGTAAGTTAATGAAGTCCCCAGAGGTTATCCTTCATGTGCCTGTTGATCTCAATGATATTTCAAGCGGAATGACACCACATAATGAAAGCAGCCTGCACAGGGAACAAGAGTATGATTCAGAATCCATATATACAGCTATATTTCATCCTGCTGCTGTACTATTTCAATTATGAGGCTAATTAATGAAGTAACATTCCTGAATAGTCTATTTTTCAACTTATATAATATTGTATTTTAAAGAAAACTGCAAGTAGGAAAAGTAACATGGAAAGTCACATTCTTGGGAATGCTACTCAGTTCTTTCTCAAAGTTAAATAAATACCAAGGGAGTTCTAACTTCAAAAAATTAGCAGCTTTACATTCACTGTGTTAGTGTATGGGGATGATTTTAATTTTAAAAAATCAGGATACAAGCCTTAATCGACTGACTTCTAGCATTAACAAAGTAAGGAAGATGTTCCAAGGGGAGTGCAAGTTTGCAGTTTAGTATTATAATGAGCCTTTGACCCAGAAACAAAGCAGAAATTGCTGGAGAAACTCAGCAGGTCTGCCAGCATCTGTGGATAGATAGCAGAGTTAACATTTCGAGTCCAGCAACCCTTCTTTAGAACTTATACTAGCTAGGAAAGGGTGGTATGTAAGCTGTGATGTGGGTGGGGGCTGAATGGAGTGAGCAGATAGGTAAAAATGGATACCAGAGAGATAGAATGACAGCTGGGGATGGAAGATGGAGTGCCGTGGAGAAGGAAAAGCCAACAGTGGGGACTAAAAGTAGGTGAAAATGGGTTGGCTGTGCTGGAAGCAATGCATGTCGTGACATGGCGTGGGGCGGGGGCTGGTTGGTGAAGGATATAGACGATGATGTTCAAGTTCTAAAATTATTGAATTCGATGTTGAGTCCTGAAGGCTGCAGGATCCCCAAGCAGAAAATGAGATGCTGTTCTTCCAGCTTGCGCTGAGCTTCGATGGAACATGCAGCAGGCCTGAGGCAAAAATGTTGGCCAGGGAACATGGTGGTGTGTTGAAAAATGTGAACCTTACTGTTGTTCACGATCTGAACTTGTCAATGGATGGCCTGGTTTCCACGGGAAATCCAGCAACTACATCCTGGCTGGACTGCTGGATCCAGGCAATATGTGCCTGCAAGATCTAGTGTGCCGGAGTGGGCAGCCCCTGCCATTCGCCATCCACAGAATATGGGGAATCTCAACATCTGAGATCCTACACCTTACCACTCGGGCTCCAAACCAACTTCCACATCTGAAAGATTGGGTCAGTGAAAATGCAGATCGTTGGTCTCCAGGGATTCCCGATGTACTCGCCTTCATTTGATATCTTTACAAAAAAAAAACACTTATTACAAAAATGTGTGTTTCAATTGATAATTTTTTCCTCTTTTCAAAAAATTATGTTGCAGTTGGAAGATTGCTGATAGAATTCAACTCACTGATGACAATGGAGAAAGTTCAGCAAGAGAACCCAGATGTACAAATGGGTGGCAAATACAAGCCTTCAGACTGCATCGCTAAGCAAAGAGTTGCCATCATAATTCCATTCAGGCACAGAGAACACCATTTGAAGTTCTGGCTGCATTACTTACACCCCATCCTACGTAGGCAGAAGATCAACTATGGAATTTATATTATAAACCAGGTGAGTACCTGATCAAACAGTGTTATTTTGTGATGGTGATGCCATGTTGTAAGTTAAGGATTTCATTGGAGCTAATTATGAGTCATGAGCTATTCGTAGCATTTGATTTATGTGATTCCACATTATGGTTTCACACTTCTGGCCCTTATTAAGCCAGTTGAATATCAAAACGCAAACTATATTTAAATTAGCAAGATCTGATTTGCTATCATCTATCTCCTTGAGGTTGTAATCTATCACCAAAGATCAAAATTGCAGGGATTCTCTAACTACTTCAGGTTTGATCATTCATCTTCCCTTGGTTGCAAGTTGTTGTTTCTGCTGTAATTCTGTCGAGCCTGCTGCTGTACAGAAATATTTTCAATCCAAATGACTTCAGAGAAATGTCAACATCTGATTCTCATCCAAGAATTAAACAGAACATGTTTGATTAATTAGAATTGTGATCAGCCATACCCTATTAAATAATCAAAAATGGGAAGGTCGAAAATGATACCAGGAGCAGTGCAAATTATTACAGATTCAAAAGGGGGACGTACGTACACTTGGCATGCCTCCGCTTATTTCCTCTTGTTCATTTGTTTTGTGATTCAGACTTGATGATCAGAGACAGGCTGTGAGCAGATGTCTTAAATTAAATTGTTTTGGGTAATTCTGCGATGTTATCATGGCTTTTGAGGCACCAGGTTAGTGTCCCTACCTCTGAGTCAGGAGAACCGTGATCAAGTCTAACGTGCTCCAGAGGTGTAGAGTAATATCGCTGAAGAGGTTGATTGGAAAGTATCTAATACTACAACATTATACTGTGGTGATGGTGGCACTGTGTATGAATACCTATGAAGGAGACAGCCCCTGCCCTCATTTTCTTTACATCTTAGCCAAAATTTCCCACAAAATCAACCTCTCTAGCTTTGGTGAAACATCAGGAGAATGTTTCCAGTTCCTGCAATCAGTAAAAGAATTTCCTACACTGCAACTGGGATGCCCTTCACCTAGAGTTGAAAAGCATTGTGTTTAACTCAAGAGAGATTGGAACTGTGATGTTAGATGCCTTTGCAGTTTTTACAACATACCTCAACTCTTTGTTTCAAAGGTTATAGTGGAGGACCTCTTTACACTTAAAGTAATTCTCTCAGTATTGTTCTTCTTCAGTTTTTAAGAAGCTTCATTAATCAGGGAAGCATCTTGACACTGCCTGTAAGTGTACCGATTATTTGTGAGTGCTTTGCACTAGGTTGGCAATAGCTACTCAAAGTGAATCCAATTCTATTTAACTGTCTTGGACATTGTGACAGTCCTTTGAGTTATCATAACACAGGCAAACCCCAGTCCCAAATAATACATTTTGGGAGGTGTCAGCTATTATTACAAAGGTGGTTGAAATATTTGCTTGTTCAGGAAGATGCAGGAATGTGGTAGATTAGAACAAAACAGATATAACATGTTCAGCTGATTTTTTTTTTTGTAAATTTCTAACCATCAGTATTATGAAGTCAAATGATGGAATATCTAGTGAGAAACAATGGATTAATAAGGCAACCATTGGTGTGGCACACGTTATCAGTGATCAACATAAGTAAGTTCAGCAGTCACATTACAAATATCCAAAGCCACACACTGACAAATGAGAATAAATCAACTTTGATTGAAGAATGAATATTGTACAGCATTGTACTGAAGAAATTCTGCATTCTTAGAGATGCCTTTTTTTGTGTGAAATGTTAAATCAAGGCCTCGTCTCCCTGTTCAGTTGGATACAGGGCATTTTATTTAAAAAACGTGGAACTGTCCCAATGTTGTAGTTAAATCTATCCCTCAACTGGCATCACCCAAACAGATAAACTGGTTATCAAAACATTTGTCGGGCAATGCTGTGTGCATTGCTTGATATGCTTGCCTACAACAGTAACAGGTACTTCAGAAGTACTTCATTGCCTGCAAAACTTTGTTCTGAGGACATGAAATGGACCACATAAATTGAAAGTCAGTTTGTTTTTGTTTCCCTACATGTGCTCATTCACAGGAGGGTGTCATGGCTATTCCTTAATAGCTTAAAGGGAAAGAGATGGGTGGCCTGACACAACACAGAATGGCATTAGTAGAGTCAAAATGTGCTGAATGGATTTGGTTTAATGATCTTTTATATAAAATGTGCTGCAGAACTGTGTTACAGACTAGATAAACGTGCTTTTTTACTCTTGGAAGTGAGTACCACTGACATTTTTGCACATCCCTAGTTGCCTTGAGTTTGATATAACTGATTAGTTTGCTCAAACACTCAATGGGCAGTTAAGATTCAAACATGTTGGAAGGTGACTGGAGCCACATTGACGCCAAACCAAATGAGGGCAGCATGTTGTCTTCCCTGAAGAACATTAGTGAAGTGATTTGGTTTTTAGGATAATTCTACAGCCTAACAATCACTTTTGCTGATGGCTTTTTATTTGTTGACAAGTCTTTAAGCCAAATTCAAATTCTTGCTAGTCTAGTTAGAATTGAACTCTTATTCTCCGAATTAGTCAAGGCCTTTGAATTATTAGTCAATATTGACTATAGTATGGCACTTGATGTTTTTCCTAAAATGAATTGCTCAATTTACCTGCCAGCCAAAGTAATTGTCAACAACCCTATAGGTTTCTTTAACCTTTATTAATTATTCTGTCTGTGGTGGCACACAAAATGATGTATAAACATTGTGTCAAGAGATAATTTCCTAGCTCCAGATTGAGATCGCTGTCGGTCCACCCAAACTTGAATGTAACATAGAACACAAGAACACAAGAACTAGGAGCAGGAGTAGGCCGTCTGGCCCTTCGAGCCTGCTCCGCCATTCAATAAGATCATGGCTGATCCTTTCGTGGACTCAGATCCACTTACCCGCGTTCTCACCGTATCCCTTAATTCCTTTATTGTTCAAAAAAAAATCTACCTTTTTTTTAAAAGCGTTTGCTGAAGTAGCGTCAACTACTTCACTGGGCAAGGAATTCCATAGATTAACAACCCTCTGGGTGAAGAAATTCCTTCTCAGTTCAGTCCTAAATCTGCTCCCTCTAATCTTGAGGCTATGCCCTCTTGTCCTAGCTTCACCCGCTAGTGGAAACATCCTCTCTACTTCTATCTTATCTATTCCCTTCATAATTTTATATGTTTCTATAAGATCCCCCCTCCATCTTCTGAATTCCAATGAATATAATCCCAATCTACTCAGTCTCTCCTCATAAGCCAACCCCCTCAACTCCGGAATCAACCTAGTGAACCTCCTTTGCACCCCCTCCAGTGCCAGTATATCCTTTCTCAAGTAAGGAGACCAAAACTGCACACAGTACTCCAGGTGTGGCCTCACCAGCACCTTGTACAGCTGCAACATAACCTCTCTGCTTTTTATTTCAATCCCTTTAGCAATGAAGGACAAAATTCCATTTGTCTTCCTAATTACTTGTTGTACCTGCAGACCTACCTTCTGTGATTCATGCACAAGGACACCCAGGTCCCTCTGCATAGCAGCATGCTGCAACTTTTTACCATTCAAGTAATAATCCTTTTTACTATTACTCCTACCAAAATGTATGACTTCACATTTATTTACATTGTTTTCCATCTGCCAGACCTTTGCCCACTCACTCAATGTATCTATGTTCCTCTGCAAAGTTTCACAGTCCTCTGCACACTTTGCCACTCATCTTAACATGGCATCAATCCGAATTGGGAGTTAGGTTTTCCCTTCCCCACTGTGATATTAAAGACATATTTTCTCACCCTGCCCCCTTTAGGTTTTCACACAACATGGATCATAGCCTGACTGAGAGGACAAGCAGACACCCTACTAGCTGTTCTGTTCACTGCCAGCTAGGACAAGAGGGTCTGGGTGACTTGTCCACTACTTGGTGCCTTCTGTAAAGGCACGGCTGAGATTAAGAACTTGCCATGCAGGAAATGGCAGGCACAATTTTCGTCCTCAGTGAGTTAAAGTTCCATATGTCCCAGTGAGCAAACTGATGGAGGTAGCTGTAGCTGGGCAGTGGGGTTCCCAGAGATTGTCCATGGATTCCTGCTGCCCATAATATGTGTTGGCCTCAATGGAAATATTGTAAGCAGAGTCTCTGTTTTCCCAACACACTAAGCTGTTTGTGAAAGCATCATGTTAAAAAGAACAGGCATATCTTGGAAATCTGGAATGGAATTTGGAAGGAAAAGAATGTGCCTCACAAGACAGAGAAGTGAATCGCTGAAAATGTTAGAAAAGATTAGTGTGTGCAGATTGGTGGAATGTTAGGTGAGGAATTACATTTTTGTGACAATGATGGCAAAAGCAAAGAAGTTAAAATACACAATGGACAGGAAATAATGTATTGAGATTTATATATTCTTTAATATTTGAGAAAGCTACAAAATACGTGGACTGAGGACAGAGTTGGAAGGTGTTGGGTGAGAGACAGAGAGAGGATTTAAGAAAAAACATTTTATGACCTGGAACACTCCTTGTAGAAGTAGGAAAAGCAGTGATTATGAATTATTTCAAAAGGAAATTAAATGGGTATTTGATGGAAATAAACTTGGAAATCTACAGGAATAGAATGGGGCAATAGAACTGATTTGAATTGTTCTACAGAGAAACTGCATGGACTCTATGATCTGAATGACCTCTTCCTGTGCTGTAATAACTGTATGACCCTCTTTACACTTCACAAAGCATTATTATGGCTCTATTGTGCTGCATTAGTTTTGAATACCATTGCGTTGCACTATCAAGGGGCATAATGGAAGTGAAATGTTACTCTAAGGCATAAGTGGAGTTTCAGCAAGCTTGCAGGTATTCAGAAAAGCACTTAAGAATGGTATTTGCACCATCCTACTTTTCGATAAGTGGACATGCAGGCTTCTAGAGACAAGTGAGATTGGGAAATGTTAAGAGATTGAGTCAAATAATAGTTTTAACCCCTCTAGACAGTATAATTAAGATGTAATTCCATTGATAATTAAGCTCCAGTACATTAATGACT